ATTTCACAAAGTTGTAAAGAGTCAGTAACCGTGACCGTGATGGGTGATAGATGTCCTAGGACTGGGCAAAGCATGAAGCACAGCTCCTGGTTTTTAGGGAGAGCTCAGTGCTCATTCGGTTTCCTTCCTTGGCAATGGGAAGCCCCCTCCATCCTCTCGACCAGAAAAAGACCCCCACCCGCCTGGGCAGGAAGAACAGAGAGCGCTTCTGTCTGCAGCCCGGTCTCTACTGAGTCTCCCTTGGGAAGAACCCACAGAAGAGTTGGCATCCAATCTGCCAGCCACATGGAAAGCCAACTAGGCAAAACACCAGGGGCCCTGGGGAGGGGTGCGTTTCTCAGCTCATTTGCAAGTAGCTGGAGAGCCAGGACTCCCAGGCTCTGCAAGGGAAGCAGCTCAGGAATAGAGGGAGTTCCAGGCAGGCTGCTGCTCCCGCCAGTGCCATGTGAAGGCTCCCTCTCTCTGAGCCTGTTTTCCTACCTCAAATGAGGATGCTCAGACCACCATGGGGACATTTCGAGAGGATCAAAATGAGTCAAGAATGTGAAAACCCTCAGAACTAGAGGAGGAGATGGCTCCGTGGGGAGGAGCAGGGACCCACCTCACCCAACTGTGTCCCTTGTCGTGCCAGGACAACAGCAGACACACAGCAGGACTGAGTAACTACTTGCGTGGCAAACCCTCCCGGGAGGGCCTGGGTCTTCAACCAAAGTTACAGAAACTTCATCAGGGGACTGGGGCCCTGAGGCACCACCTTTGCCCAGAGGAACTTTATTGGGACTGCAGTGCCTCCTAGTGGCCAGTGTGAGCAACTGCAGCCTTGATTCGGGCCACCTGGGAGTGTGGCTCTACTACCTTCTGGCAGGGGCCAGGGGCCAGGGACCCCACCCTGGGGTGAGCAGAGCATCCCAAGACCCAGTGACGCCTCCTCTTAGCTTCCTGTAGAGGCTGTTCCCTCTCCACAACCCTCCCCCGTCCCCTACTCCCTGGCTAAGATTTGAACAATACTGATCGAGCTGAGGAAACAGAAAAGCCAAGCATTTTGTCCCCAACCACAGAAGCTGCGGGGCCACATTTGGTCTTCATGGCCTGCCCTGTGGCTGGCTTCCTTGCGCCCCCTCATTCCACCAGGTCTGCTCTCTCACCCGATGCTGCAGCCACCCCCCCCCCCCCCCCCCCACCGAAAAAAAAAAAGCCCACAAGCAGTGTGTGCCGAGGGACAAGGCCTGGGTCGCTGTTCTGTGGAGCCCTAGTTACCCTCAGCAGGGCGGACCAAGCTGCCCCAGTGCCCCCAAGGGCAGGAGCCCAGGGGCTGGCTCAGGACCCAGCAGCACATCAGGGAGGCCCAGCTCTGAACTCCTCCGAGTCTGGTGGGGGCGCAGCCCCATGAATCAGCCTCAAAGGCAGGGAATTCAGTGCTGCAGAGGGGAGCCTACCCTAGGAGTCAGGTTGAGAGAAGGGTCACCTTGGAAACCCAATAGAAGCAATTCACAAAAATAAACCCAACCGAAGCAGTTCACACCAAATAAAAGGTTTAACTTCACTGGTTATTTCAGACATGTGAATTCAAACACAGTTTTGCTTTTATTCGTCACACTGGCAAAGATTTAAAAACAGTATAGCCCTGCAGCAGCAGGCACGCTGCTGGTCACTGCGGAAGTGGGCACATTTTTAGAAGACAGTTTGGCCGTGTCATCCGAGGTCTGAAGGTGTGTGCATGATTTAACTCAGTATTTCTAGTGCTTGGAGCTGCTTCTAAGGAAACCACGAGGGTACTGAGGGATTTAATGATAAGGATGGTCATCACAGGCCTGAGGTAATTTCAGAGAGTCAGAAACCCAACAGTGGAGGATTGATAAGATAAAATAGAGTTTGTCTATGTGGTGAAATACTATGCAGCCATGAAAAATGATGTGGTGGAAGAATATAGAACAGCATGGAAAGATGTGCAGGATAGTCTTAGGTTAAAAAAGACTTACAGAAAATAGGGTCTGTGTGTGTGAGTGTGTGTGTGTGTGTGTGTGTGTGTGTGTGTGTGTGATCCAAGAGGCCTTGGAGTCACGGAGGGGCCTGGTTTGTGAGGATGTGGCCAATGCCCACTGCAAAAGGGGGCTTTCTCTGAAGCTTCTCCCCTTCCTCCACCCCATTCCAAGTGGCGCTCACGCCCCTCCTCCCAAGATCCCACAGCGGCGCCCAGCACCTACCCAGAGCAGGCATCACTGATGGCTGCTTTCAAATAGCATTTTAAAGTGACAAAGGCAATTCCTGTTCATGGTAGGATAAACAGAAAATTAATTCAAACCAGAAACAAACAAAAAAAGGAACAAAATTAACCCATATACCTGTGTTCTTCCCTCTGGAAACTTTTAGTATTTTCTAAGGACAGATACTCCACCCACCCACCCCCTTTCCCCATCTCTCAAATGAGATTTACTAATATAGTATGAACATTTTTCCAAGTACTAAAATGCTATTCTTCTATAATGTCGGTTTTTTTCATTTGTTCATCAGATGTTTAGTGAACACCTACTATGTGCCAGCCACAATGCTAGGCAATAGAATGAAGGTTAAACAAAACAAATATATTCAGATATACTCCCTTATTTTATGGAAGGGACAGAGAGACAATAAACAAAGGGGGAAAAACAAATACGAGGTGTACCGGTTAATAATGCAGATTTTTTTCAATAGGTGGAGTTACACATATGTTGACACTGGTAAATACGTAATAATATGTGTCAAATGCCAAGAAAGAAACAGTCTGCAGGGGAAAGAGCTTCCATTTATAGAACCATCGTCCTTAATTTAACCAATGTCCTTTCCCAGACATCCCCGTTATTTTCAGGGTTTCTGTATAATAATGCCATGATGAGCTTTCTCTCTAGTTAATTCTTTGCGCTCATCATAATCATTCCTCTAGGATAAACTCCTAGAGGTGGGATTACTGGGTGAAGACATACAAACTTTTTACTTGCTTAGTTTCCCTTAGTATATTTAAACACAATTCTGTACTTTCTTTACTCACATCTTTTTTATTTTTAAAATAAGATGCTGTAAAATTTAAATTTGGGGGGGTGTAAGTTTTATGAATTTTAACACATTCCTGTACAGATTGGGATACCGGATGGGTCCACACACCAGTGTCACCTTTTGTGGTCAAACCCATCCCCGCCCCCGACCCCGGCCACCAGCGGCCTGTTCTCCGTCCTGACACGGTCGCCTCCCCCGAATGCCATACGACCAGTAAGTACAGTGATACATTGCGTTCATTTCGAGACTGGCTTCTCTTACAGACCATAACCTGCCTTTGAGAGTCAGCCATGCCATGGCTTCTATCAACACATGTTCCTTTTATCCCTGACCAGTACCCCATCCCATAGCTGCACCACAGTTTGCTCAGCCATCCACATTCGGGTTGTTTCCAGTTTGGGGGCGATTATGAGCAAAGCTGCTCTAAACATTGCATGCAGATTTGGTGTCCCCCCCCTTCCCGCCCACCGAAAACGTCTTCGCTTCTTTTGGGCAAATGCCTGGCAGTGAGGCTGCTGGGTCGTGTGGTCAGCGTACGGCTCTGACCAGCGACGTGAGAGTTCCGGTTGCTCCGTGTCCTCGCCAACACTTGGTATCGTCAGGCTTTGCATTGCCATTGCAGTGGGTGTGTAGTGACACCTCAATGGGGCTTTTCGTCTGCACTTCATGGTGGGCAACACGCCGAGCGTGTTTTCATGCTTATTTGCCACCTGTATGGAGTGTCTGTTCACATGCTCTGCCCACTGTTTTTGTTTTCTTTAAACATCACTGTCACCTGAACTCCACAGCTCACTCAGGTGTCACTAGCTTCCCCTAATGTCCTCTTACTGTTCCAGGCCCATGGAGGAGACCACCTGGCCCTGAGTCCTCTGGCGTCCTTAGCCCCTGTGGCTGGTGACAGTTCCTCAGACGGCCCTTGTCCACAGAAGCGTTTTTAGGGCTGGGGCTGGTGCGTGTAGGTGACCAGGAGCGCGGCGTCACCTGGTGGCGGGCCGGCCCGAGCACCTGCGCCTCCGCCCACGGTCCTCTGCAGGTGGGCAGCTCCATGGGGCAGGGACTGCCCCCACTGGTGCACATGGAACAGGCTCCACGCGTGCTCGCTGAAATGTCGCTCCTTCAGCCTTCCTTATCCGGCCTGGAGCTAAACTAGGGCCGTCGAGCTGAGCTCTGGGCAGAGCCCAGTGGCAGAGGTGGGCCGGGACGTGATCGATGGGTAACCTTTGACCTCCACCCCACCCCCACACGACTGTTTGGACAGCAGTGGGTTTAGTCACTCTCCTTTAAATAGCATGAAAGGGCTCACGCTGGCCTGTTTTGTTTAAGGAGATTACATCGGCGCTGTGCACTCTGCCACAGGGGGTGTGAGGCCGGTTCACCCGAGAACAGAGTGAGCAGAGCGAGCGGCATGTCCCCTCAAAGCAGATGTTTGGAGGAAAAATAGATGTAATCAAAGCCAGGGAGGATACAATTACTCAGGCCACTGAGACACACACTCCATATGCAAGGGCCTGGGCACAGGTACACACACACACACACACACACACACACACACACACCACCCATGTCCATACCCACCCATGTGTATTTGCAGGATAATGTTTGCCTACACACACCCACACGCAACAGCACGCACATCTCACTTGCCTGCACAAGCACGCACGCTCCACAGGCAAGTACACATAGGTCCCCACCCATTCACCACTGCGGCTGTGCCACACGCCCGAGGGCGCACTCCGGGCACACGGAAGGAGAACCACGCAGAGGCGTCCGGCACCCTCTCCCCAAACGGGTTCAGAAGTCCCTTCTCCTTAAACCACAGTCATAAAACAGTCTCTTTAAATCATAATCATAAAAAAGATTCGCAGTCACCTTTGGAAATCTCTCAAAGGCTTTCACGTCAGACAAAGGTCAGGCTAGATTAGAGTGACGCCTCTGGGTTGAACCAGGACAAGTGGGCAGAGGGTAAGGGGATGAAGAAGGCCAACAGCCAGGACGGTCCAGCGGTGGACCAGGCGGCTCCCAGGAGAGGCTCCGGCCTGAAGGAGCTCAGGCAGAGGCCCCAGGGCCCTAGGGGCTGCGGATTAAGACCAGAACCTTGAACCAAAAGCTCCCACTTCATCAGAAGCGGGTGCTGGAAGTAGCGTTTACCTAGGAGTGTCTGAAGGGCAGGCGGTACCGCCATGGCCACCAGGGCCTGCACACCTTCCGTGGGGCCCGCGGTGCTCACACTCCATCTTAGCCACCTTAGTGATTCTCCTGGGTGGCCTGGGGGTCATTTCCACATCGGGACATTCCACAGGGAAGATGCAGATCAGGATTTCAATGTATTGGGCCCCAAGACCGGGACAAAGCCCACTGTGGATGGGGTGTCAGCAGAGCGCCCGTTCGAAGTCCTTATGGGACCTGCCTCAGGGAGGGCTGGGGAGGAGCCCAACCCGCAGGCCGGTGACCTGGCCTCGGGTAGGGCTTGCTGCTCCTCGGCCTCGTGCCGGTGCCAGGTGCCATCATCCTGAAGGCGGCGGTCCTGCAGCCTGGCCAGCGGACAGACTCCCAGGGACTTTTCTCCACCCCGGCCCAGCAGCATGGTGGGTGCGGAGCCGGCTCCTGGCAGATGCCCGGCTGGGTTCCTGGACATTGAAACACCTAAGTCCGTCTCTGAGCCTCTGCCTCCGGGCCCGCCTGGGAGACGGGGGGAGTTGCAGGAGCTGTTTCCAGGGCCATCTCACCGAGAAGCGCACCCAGGCCTCAGGATGTCATGCTGATTCTCCACCAGCCCCGAGGGATCATCTAGTCAGAGAACAATTTGCTGGCCCCATCCCTGACATCTGCCCGTCTCAGACGGGCTCCATACACTCAGGGCCACCTGAGGAGCAGCGGCGGGAACCGAACCTTTATAGTCAGGAGCTGGAAGACTTGGAGGAGGGGCAGCCGGCTCTCAGTGTCCACAGGGCTGCCCTGGGGAAGCCTGGAGGTGTAGAACCAGGACCAATGCGCCAGATCTACAGGAGACAGACAGGGGCTGGGCCTCAGGACGGGTGTCCAGCTGCCCTGGGGGCAGCGAGCTCTCTGTCACCAAAGCCAGGGCGGCAGCACCTGGTGGAGATGCTGGGGGTGGAAGGAGGCTGAGCTAGATGCCCCGAGTCCGGGACGTTTGGACCGAGGACCGGAGAGGCCTTGGCTTGTCATGCTCCCAGCTGGGTGGCCACAGAACCGCGGGGAAGGCTCCTTTGCTGTCTAAGGACGGAAAGCAAGGCGACCACCCATCAGGACTGAGATTGGGAGGCTCTCCTTCCTCTTTGAGCACCGGAAGCACCAGTTTGCCAGAGTCCCGGCAACTCCTGGCCTTTCAAGTCAGCTGACATTTGCCTGGACACAGACATGCCTTCCACACCCCCCTCCCCATCCAGATCCCAAGGGGAAGGTCCATAGTCCCAGGGTGGGAGGGATTCTCCACCCCACTGAGGCGTGACACCCCCTCTCCCTGCTCCCCCCACTCCCGAGGGGGCGTGCCTGCCCCATCTGCAGACGAGACTGATATGAAGCGAGTCCCATGAAGTCGTGGGCAGACGGGGCTGGGACTGGGGTGGAGCGCAGACTGCCCAGCCCTTGGTGTGGTGTCTGCACACAGACAGTGCTGTCTCCCCCTCTCCGCCCCTCGCTCCCTCTCAGTGGGTGGCTGGAGGGGGGGAAACTGAGCTCTGACTCCTCACCTTGGAAGACTGGCTGTTCTGCCGCCTCCCCGTCGGCTAAGCCCAGCCCAGCACAGCGCGGAGGGGCTTCTCTCAGAGGCCGCATCCTCGCTCCCTCATCCTCCGGCGGCCCTTCTGCTTCAGGACAAGCCGCGCAGGGCTCCTTGGCTGTGGGAGGCCCGGGGTTCCACTGCCCCCACGCTCTCCTCGGGGAAGGACCCAGGAGCTGAGAGGGTTAGCACACATTCCCCCCAGTTAAAACCAGGTCTTTGGGCAGGTCCCTACCAACCCTCCATTTCTACAACATGGAGTTCCTTCTGCTCAGCCCATGAGGCTGTGCGGGGCGGTCCCAACCCTAGCCCTGGGGCCAGAGGGTGCTCTAAGGGTCCATGGGGTCCTGGGATGGGGTCTGGGGAGCAGGGCGAGGGCAGGAGGGGTAGGGGCTGCCCCCTGCCAGTCTGGCCTACAGGAAGTTGCATAACAGAGATGTTTATTTTTGGTGAGGCTGAGTGGGATTTCTTCTCTTTAAAAAAAAAACACAAAAAAACACAAAATATAAAACTTATTTGTCTGCCAGGAAGATAAATATCTTTGCTGAAAGCTCTGGGCCCAGCTGCCAGCTGCAGTTCACATGAAGCTGTCACTGAGGCCTGGCAGTGTGCGCCGGGCTCACGTGGTGCCACGTCTGATGCCGTGGGCCCGCCCACCCCCTGATGGCGTCAGCGCTGGCCGTGACCCCGAAATGTCTTCCTGGAGCAGCTTCCAGGCTCCCTCACCTCCACCCCCTTGTTTTCAGTGCCTTGGAGAGGGAGGTGAGAATGACAGACGACATGTCCCTTGCAGCTTCCCCGGCGTGAGGAGAGCCCCAGTGCACCCACAAAGCCTGGCGTGAACCTGGAGCCTCAGGACCTGGGCAGGGCCAGGAGACCTGGGCCAGAGGCATCGTCCCAACACGTACTGCCCACTGCCTGGACCTGGTCCCAGAAGAGGAAACCGAGGGTCAGAGTGACCCTCATGCTTGTGGCGATCAGAGCTTGTGTGCGAAAGGTCTTGTCAGACGCTGCGCACATGTGCCTCGTTAATCTGTTACGTTATCTGACTATACTGAGTTACGGACCGGGACTGCGGCTCCGAGAGGGGCTCACACCCCTGTCTGCAGACACCATCCCGCTCCCTCCCCACGGTGCTGCACGTGCTCTCGCACTCAGGGGCTCCAGCGAGGGTCTGCCCACTCGGAGGACTTCTCCAGGGTCAGTCCTCTGCTGTTTGCAAGCCCAGACCACACTGGGAGTAAGGACACTGGCAGAAGCGTACGCAGCCGGTTCTGTGCCGCCTGCTTTACATGGTGGCCTCTTTGATCCGACAACTACCCTATGAGGATACCTATCCTACTGGCATCTTCAGCCCCATTTTACAGAGGAGGAAACTGAGGCACAGAGAGGCTCAGTGAAGTGTCCAAAGCACACAGCTGGAGAGTCATCCCTGTGGGATTCATACCGAGGGTCGGGCTCCAGAGCCCTCGCTCCAACCCCTGAGGCCACTGTGTCTGCCCAGCTGCTAACTGGGCTCTTTGGATGCAGACAAGCTACTCCCCACCCCACCCTCCCACCCGGCCTCTGCCTCCTCATCCTTGACCTGCATGGGTTCACTGGTCTTTTCCAGCTTCCAAGAACCGGTGGCCGGAGCCCCATTCTGACAGACTGACAGCAGTGGCTGTGGGCCTGGGCCTCCAGCTTTATATAAATCTACCAGGGCCCACCTGGAGGGGGCAGGACCCTGCTTGGCCAATTGGTGAGACCAGTGTGGAGGGCAAGGGGGTGTGGATTTTTGGAGAGGAATCTCCGCAATTCCTGCTGAACCTCCAAAAGGACCAGGCCGGGAAAAGAGGGGCATTTCTGCCTGCTTTGATGCTGGCCTCTCCTCCTCACCCCAAGCTCAGTTGGGCCAGTTGTGTTGTGTTTTGTTGGTTTGGGTTGAGTTGGGTTGTATTGGATTGAGCTGGATTTTTTGTGTTGTGTTGGGTGGTGGAGAGGGCTACTGCTTTCACCATAATGGTCAAGAAGATTTCTCAAAAGAGGCGTATAGAGTTGGGACCAGAAAGACAGAGAAGTAGGTGGCCAACTGAATGAGTTTCCCCTTCCATCTCAGGGGTCCAAGGCACTGACACATCCTCCATGCCCAAAGGAGAAGTTCTGGCAAAGGGGGGCCTTCTAGAGGGAGGAGACTGGGCTCAGTAGGGCGGGAATTAAAGGTCATAGAGGCCATATTGACTGACCCAGAGTCACATAACATTGATGCTGAAAGGAGACCATTTTGAGATGAGGGTAAAGTCTCAGAGAGGGAAAGGGACTTGCCCAAGGTCACCCAGCATGGTAATGGCAAGCCAAGATCAGAACCCAGGCCTCCAGACCTCACATCCAATGAGACAAGGCAGGGGATGGCACCCCTGTCCCTCCCTCCTCTCTTTCTTGATTCAGCCACTGGTTTCTGACCTTGTTTCCTTCCCCCTCAGCCAAAGAGAGCTCCCTGAGTGAGCCAGAGTTGCCGCCCGACTCTGACACCGTGGGGATGGACAGCAGCTACCTCAGTGTGAAGGAGGCTGGGGTGAAGGGGCCCCAGGACCGGGCCAGCGCCGACCTCCCCAGCCCGCTGGAGAAGGCTGACTCGGACAGCAACAAGGGCAAGAAGCGGCGGAACCGAACCACCTTCACCAGCTACCAGCTGGAGGAGCTGGAGAAGGTCTTCCAGAAGACCCACTACCCTGACGTGTACGCGCGGGAGCAGCTGGCCATGCGGACGGACCTCACCGAGGCCCGCGTGCAGGTCAGTGAGGTGCCTGGGTGGGGTGGGAGAGCAGGGCCTGCCCTTGGGCTGGTGGCTGGAGCTGAGACTGCCGGGCTGTCTCTCAACCACACTGTCTTCACCTCGTCCAAGGAGAGCCCCCGAGGCTCCCAGCCTGCCCCTCCTGCCCCTGCTCCAAGTCTGCTTTTGTCCACTTTAACACTGGGCCTCTCCCTCTGGTTGGAGCAGGAGTGGGAGAAGCAGGGCCCTGTAGGGGGGCAGGAAGCCTGTTAGCTCTACTTGGGCTCTAAGTGGTATGCGAGTCTACGTGGTTTCATAAAGGAATAAATGACTAGTCTCTGCTATGGAAGACCTGTCTCTTAGGAAGGAAACAGGGTAAACTTAAAGACATCACAGCAGCCCAGTGGGCAGAGACCGAGAACAATCCAGCTCTTCCTTCTGCCCAGGATGGCCACCTACTTCTCTGTCTTTCTGGTCCCAACTCTATACGCCTCTTTTGAGAAATCTTCTTGACCATTATGGTGAAAGCAGTAGCCCTCTCCACCACCCAACACAACACAAAAAATCCAGCTCAATCCAATACAACCCAACTCAACCCAAACCAACAAAACACAACACAACTCAACACAATACCACCCAACACAACTCAACACAACACAACAAAATCCAGCACAGCTTAATCCAGTACAACCCAACTCAACCCAAACCAACACAATGCAACACAACTCAACCCATCCCAACCCAACAAAATCCAACACAACTCAGTTCAATACAATCCAACTTAATCAACACAATGCAACTCAACCCAAACCAAGTCAACGCAACGCAACACAACACAACACAACCAAACCAGGTTACCTACTGCCACATTATCCTATTTTATCTTCTTTGTAGAAATTACTGGCTTAAATTATTTTATGTTTGTCTCCTCCCACTAGAACAGTGGTTCTCAACCTTCCTAATGCCGCGACCCTTTAATACAGTTCCTCATGTTGTGGTGACCCCCCAACCATAAAATTATTTTCGTTGCTACTTCATAACTGTAATTTTGCTACTGTTATGAATCATATTGTAAATATCTGATATGCAGGATGTATTTTCATTGTTATAAATTGAACATAATTAAAGCATAGTGATTAATCACAAAAACAGTATGTAATTATATATGTGTTTTCCGATGGTCTTAGGCGACCCCTGGGAAAGGGTTGTTCGAGAGAACTGCTGCACTAGAATATGAGCCTTTGAGGGCAAGTACTATGTGATTGTTCATCCCTGTATTCCTACCAACTAGAGAAGGCCAAAATCAGAGAAACAAAGGCAAAAAGTAACTATTTGTGGACCAGTGGACCTCATTTGTCCAGAGAGGGTGTCCCTGCCTCCCTGCATGAAATGACAGCAAAGAAAGAACCAGACGGGAAACCAAGACCTCTGAGTACCCCAACCAGGTGACAACACTTAGGCACTAAAGCTCAGGCGTCAGCTTCACACAGAGTGAGTACCATGCTCAGCCTGCTTTCCACCCAGAGCTTGTTAGAAATAGCGAATAAGGTGTTGTCAGATAGCAGGTCTCCCCCTCAGTGTGCTTAAGGGTCATCAACAGCTTGAGGAAAAGGGAATGTTTTTGCTTTTTTTTTTTTTTTTAGCAGCTCAGCTCAGCTCAGCTCAGAAGGACTTTCAGTGCTGGGACAAAGAACCCTTCCTTACTCAGCAGACCCAAGAGCGCCCCCTGTTGCATTAGTTCACTAAGGAGTCTTAGCAGAGCTCTTCTAAGGCAATACACGCTTCATCAGTCTTACCAGGTGGAGAGACAGGCATTTGTCATTTAGGCCAGAATCATTATGTACGATGGCTAATGTGGAAAAGGACTGGCAGTTTCAGTAAATACGTAGCCATCCAGAAGTGGTTCTGTACCAAAGTGATTGTGAACAGTGGGGTTGTTTAAGCCTTACGTTCCCGAGGGCAGGCTGTCTGTTGTTGTTCGCTCTGGCACCAAGTGAATGTTTGGGGAAGGAAGACAGGGCCGGCTTTACTGGGATCCCAAAAGCCCTCTCACACCCACTGTCCGGGGATAACCAGCCACACGACCTCACGTGCTCAGAGTCTGGACAGGAGCCCCAGAATCTGGCCTCAGCTCAGCCAATGGATTTGGCAGGAGTGGAGAAGGGGTGGGCTGGGTGTGGGACATTCCTGTAGGTGCTGTGTTGGTGTGGGATTAACCGGTTCACTTTCTGTGTAGGATGTGTGTACATATATGTGTGCTGTATGTGTTCCTAACAATGGATGGGAGTACCCAGGGGTAGAATTCACTTAGTATTGAAAGAAGGATGGCCCTTCCAGTACAAAACATGGAAATGACACTGGGGCACGCCTAACATTTTTTGGTCACCACCATCCAGCTAAAATAGTGTTCCCTCTGCACACACACACATACACACACACACATCTATGCCTGCCCCCCAAAAAGGAATTGAGGTAGCTTATAATTGAAGATTTATTATTTTCACCTAAGAACAAGAACAATTTCATAAAATGGGAAGGTAATTACGTCAAAAATCTAGGCTTAGGATCATAGTTGCCGCTGAGCACAAATTTTCGCCTCTGAGCTTCCTGGCAGCCAAGGCAGAAAGGGAAACTCTAAAGTGTTGCATGTTTTCTGATCTAAGGGGGCGATCATAGAATTATAGGCTATTAGTGCTGGAGAGGACCACCTGGTCCTCTCATTTGATAACAAGGAACAAGAGGCCAGGGGTGGGGGTGGGGAGTGACTGCCTGTGATCAGGGGACGCAGGAACGCGACACGGTGGCAGTGTTGAGACTAGGACCTGAGACTCCCAGGGCTTCTTTTGCTTTAGTTTGCTGTACTAGGACATGGGCCAGGTTGTTCCGAGACGTCTTTGTATAAAGGCCGCAGGGTGGGTGGGATGTTCATGTGCGTCAGACCTCTGGGTTGAGCCCCGAGCCTGGCAGTGCCCTGGGGGGAGGGGGGATGGTGATGGAACCCCCTGCCTGCCTCCGCTCAGTTTGTTTGGGGCCCACAGCCAGCTGGTGGGAAGCCAGGTGCCTGGGGTAGAGTGGCGGTGGGACAGGAGGAGGTGATGGGGGTGCCGAGATGGACCCTTCCTGGGAAGAAGCCCGGGGTTTGGCCCTGCTCCAGGGGGCTGCAGGGGCCGCTCTCTGTGTCTGGGATTCCAAGCTGCGCAGCTGGTGTCTGAAGACAATAAGACAGAGGCCTTCCCCGCCCTGGGCCACCCCGCCAGGGCCCCAGATGGGCTGCGGTTAGCAAGGCCTCTGCCAAGAAGGTTGGTTCCTTGGGGAGAGGTCTGTGCCGAGTGGGCCCATGCCGGGGGGCCTGGGAATGGGGTGGTCCTGGGGTGAGACACACAGAACCTTGTGGCCTGCTCTCCTCCTGGGGGTGTGCAGTGGAGACAGCCTGGGGCACAGAGAGTCTGGGTGGAGGGGGGCGCGGTGGCTCTCAGAGCGCCAGGCTCCAGGGGTCAGACATAGAAGGACACAGAGCCTCAGGACCCACGAATGTCGGCACAGGAGGGGCCCTGAGGATGCCCTGCCACCACCCCATTTATGTGGGAGGAGGTTGCAGGCCAGAGAGACTAACTTAGCTTAAGCCCTGATCTGGGCAGAAAGCTCCAGCCTCGTGCACGGGGTGGGGCCCAGGGAGGAAGGAATTGCAGGGGGAGGTGGCAGGTCTGCTCCCCCACAGCCGGCCGCCTCCCACCATCTCCATCTTCAGCCCTCAGCCTGACCCCGGTCCCCTCCCCTCCCCAAGCCGGTGCTCTCTCTGCTGCCTCTCCCTCGCCTGCTCATCTATCTTCCCAGATAACCAGGTCTCCCCTCTCCCGGCCTCTTCCTCCCCCACACTCAGCTCCCCCACATTCCATCTCCCCCACTCTGCTCCTCCCCTCAATCCCAGGCTCCTTTAGGGACACTGGCCTCCTCCCTCCTCGCTCCGCGTCCCTCCCAGCCCATCCAGGCCTGCTGAGGCTTCACCAGCACCTCTCCACTCTGCGTTCCCACACAGGGACCCCGAGTCCTCAGACTCCGGGAAACCCCAGCAGGCGGCACCTAAACCTCTTCTTGCCTTCTCCCCGCCCCCAACGAGAGAACGAAGCCATATATCTCCTCCGGTGGGCTTCTCCCCTCCCCCTGGCTCCCCCCACAGAAAGCCCCGGGAGGTGGCGGAAGGAGCGGAAAGACGGAGCTAAGCCTGCAGGAAATTAAACATGAAATGAAAACAAGCTCCTCTGATGCACTCGCTCATCCTGCCCCCAGCCCCCCATTCCAGGCCGCTGATAAAGGGGGATCCCGTTTCAGCCGCGCAGAGAGGAGATCTGACCCGCCCTTGGCTCCCAGCAGGCTCTGGGGCAGGGCTGAGACCCCAAGCCCAGGAGAGGGCCGGTCTCCAGGGAGGACACAGGAAGACGGCTTCTCCTGTACCAGAGTCAAGAGGGGGAAAGGAGTGACTGAAAGAGACGTCGGCAGGCATGTGTGTGTGCATGTACATGTGCGTGTGCATACGTGTGCGTGTGTGTATACTTGTGCACGTGCACACTTGGAACTGGGGGGAAGGGAGGTGCAGTGCACACTACCTCCTCACCCCACCCTTCCCACTCTCACATGAGATACATATACTCCATCTTTCTTGAGCCTTTCCTCTAGCGAAAGACAGTAAAAAAGGTCAGGAGCTATAAATAAGCAAATGTGGAGCACTCAAAAAACGGACGGAATTTCCCATCTGTCTCACCTGTGAGGCATCACCCCTGGGAGATGTCAATACAGATATTGGCCCATTTTCCAGATGCAGAAACGGAGGCTGTTGGCAGTGCCAGCGCTCCAGTGGGCACTCCATTCCCAGGCGGCACTGCAAGCCTGTACAGCAAGCATGTCAGATTCGCGGCCCGCAGGCTGCATGCCTCGTCTATTTGAGTTTGACGTGCTTGCTGTACAGACTGCCCCTTGGGAGCCCATCTACCGCCTCTGACTCGGCTCCAGGCCATCCCTGGTCTGCAAGCGGATCCCTCCTCACCCCCTCTCCAACCTGGTGACTCCAAGCCAGGCAGGGGTCACAGGCCCCCCGAGGTGAGCTCTTGCCCATGAGCCTTGGGAAAGTTCTCAGCTGCCAGGAGTGCCCCAGCCACCACCAGAGGTTCCAGCCCCTTCACCTGCCTCAGAGACCACCTTCCTATCAGGCCCCTGTCAGGCCAGCGTTCCACCACCCATGCTCAGTGACAGCCGGCCTCCAGCCCTCCTCACAGCAGGCCCCCCTTCTGAGTGAGAGCTTACAATGGCCGCGTCTGCCTCTGCTGACAGCACCAGGGCAAACCCCTCCACTTGGCACCCGAGGCCCCCCCAGTCTGACTTCTGCTTCCTCGGTTCTTTTCTCCCACCACTCCCCAAAGGGGGCAGCCTGCCCTGGTGTCTCTAAACTCAGGCCTGGACTCTCCTCTCTCTAGCCAGCACTCAAGGCCCCGCTCCAGCCCTCCCCTCCAAGAAGCCGTCCCTGACCGCCTCCGTTGCCCAGCTGAGCCCTGTAATCCACAGGCCCTTTAACACGGGGGTTTCAGAGCTGGGAGACTGTTTCCCACAAGAATGACGGAGGCGGAGTCAGGAGGGAGGGCATCTGCCTGGTGGGCCACAGGGAGCCACGGGCCGTTCGGAAAACCACGTGTGTGGTGGTCTAGCTGCTAGACTCTAGCAGGACCATTTTCTGGAGGGGGATTCGCACTTTTATCAGCTTCTCCACGGCAGACTAGGCCACACCTCCCCATAAATGCTCATGACCGGGACACATTTTGTGTGTGCGACACTTGCTTGCTCTAGATCCTGAAATGTAGCAAAAATGAAGTTCCTGGCCAAGGTCACGCCCCTGGTTGGTTGGGGGTAAGCAAGCTGCCTCCTTGACTCTCAGCTTCGATCATTCTAGATCAGGGGTCCTCAAACTACGGCCCGCGGGCCACATGCAAATACAAATATTGTATTTGTTCCCGTTTTGTTTTTTTACTTCAAAATAAGATATGTGCAGTGTGCATAGGAATTTGTTCATAGGTTTTTTTTTAAACTATAGTCCGGCCCTCCAACGGTCTGAGGGACAGTGAACTGGCCCCCTGTTTAAAAAGTTTGAGGACCCCTGTTCTAGATGGTAAGCCCTTGGGGATGCACACCGAAGCAGCGCTTCCCGGCAGCCCCATGGCCTGCTGGGCTCACGGTCACTGCCGAGGGCTAGGCCTCTGACCCTACGACAACTGCTCTGCCTGCAGGTCTGGTTCCAGAACCGGAGGGCCAAGTGGCGGAAGAGGGAGCGTTTTGGGCAGATGCAGCAGGTTCGAACCCACTTCTCCACAGCCTACGAGCTGCCCCTCCTCACCCGCGCTGAGAACTATGCCCAGGTAAGTCCCTGCCCCAGCTGCCTGCTCCGACCCCCACCCGCGAACTCAGAACCTGCACTTCGGAGAAGGGGTCCTCTGAGATGGGGCTCATGGCCTCCAGGTCCCTCAGGCCCAGTGCAGCTGTGTGCCCTTTACGCCAGATCGTGGGAGGCCAGAGCGTTTCTGTCCCACAGGAGTGCTGCCCCAGGCTTGGCTGAGTCCCCGGCTCCACCTCCCATAAATGCTTAGAGGGGAGTGGGGCCCGGAGGTGGAAGCTGGGGAGAGGAGAGGGATCACAGCTGCATCCAGCCCAGCTCACACCGCTGCCTGGGCACCCTCCCCCCCAGACATGTGGGTGCCCAGCTGGCTCCATCCACTCAGTTGCTGCGCTCACCTCCTGAGGCTGCGTATCTGTTTGAGTTCTGAGACCTCAAGGGCGTCAGCTCTGAGATCCTCAGCCACTGACTTTGGTTTCTGGGAGATGTAGGTCCCCACTGCCCACTCGCACCCCCTCCACACCACAACCTCCCAGCCCAGAGCCCATGTTCCCAACACCAAGCTCCCCACTGATCGGGTACCTAGGAGGCCCTGGCCTGGGAGGAACCGGAGGTAAATCCAGTCGCTGACCTCAAGGGGCCCACGGACAGAGAGACAAAGTCCGCAGCTGTGTCTCCGATCAGGAAGGCAGCGGCTGAGGCGGGCTGCCCTCGGCTGCTTAGCTGTGGCCCCAGCCTCTCACTGGACCCCTGAGGAAGTCTGAAGTTTGAAGCAGACAGAACTTCTATCTGCTGCAGGCCTGGCCCCGGGAACAGCCGCCAAAGCATGCAGCCCAGGCTCTCCTGGGGGCGCCTGGGGGACCTTAATGCTTAGGCTCCCAAGCAACACTCGAGAATGGGCTCATCATGATGCTGGGCTCCTAAGTGCGGAGAGGTCATTGTGGGGAGAGGTCACTCAGGGGGTACTCCTATGTACTCCCCTGTCCTGGGCAGCTGGTGACATCTCTCCCTCCTCCTCCCCAGATTCAGAACCCGTCCTGGATCGGCAACAATGGGGCAGCCTCGCCAGTGCCCGCCTGCGTGGTCCCCTGCGACCCGGTGCCAGCCTGCATGTCCCCTCACGCCCACCCCCCTGGCTCCGGGGCCGGCGGCGTCACCGACTTCCTGAGTGTCTCTGGGGCTGGCAGCCACGTGGGCCAGACGCACATGGGTGGCCTGTTTGGAGCAGGCCTCAGCCCAGGCCTCAACGGCTACGAGCTCAACGGGGAGCCGGACCGCAAGACCTCGAGCATCGCGGCCCTCCGCATGAAGGCCAAGGAGCACAGTGCGGCCATCTCCTGGGCCACATGACAGGGCCCCTCCCGCCCCATCCCGCACCCTCCCCCACCTCGGGGCACTGGCCATGCCCATGCCTCCCAGGCCCCCAGCCTCGCACTCGACTTTCCTCTTAGGAACCTGGCCCAGGCCAGGGGCCTGACCCTCAGCACTTTCAGCCACCCCAGGTCGGAGGCCCCGGACGGCTGGGAGGGAGGGGACAGCAGGCCCCTGCCCCTCCCCG